GTTGACTATGGCCAATCCCTTTTCCATTGGGAAGAGAAAGCTTTTACTGGATATCCAATGCAACCATTGTTAATGTCCATTGAAGGTTTGGAAAGTTGATCTACTAATCAAATTTGCTTTACCAAAGCACCAAATCATTTCTAATTCAGAGTACCAAGAAAATAGATAAGATTATTAAGGGTCATGTCATAGTCTATTTCATAGTAATCCCAAAGGTAACTCATTATGTGACTTAGAAAGTGATTAAACATCCAACTTCCTTAAGACTTTGACACCCAACTCTCCCGGCTTGTTAATATGTGACTTCATCTCCAAGATGTGAGCACACATAGACCTTGCTTGCCATTAGGGCTTAAGTGCCCTTGAACTTGTGGGTAAGGGAGAATAATTAGAGGAGGTGGAGGAATTGAAGTTCCAAGAGATTTGGGAAGATCATAGATGTCTGAACTGGACATCGTTTTGGGAAATATTCAAGATAGTTGATCTAAAGTCCTTAATATAACACCTAATATGAAATATTAAGGCTAGGACCCAACACAATACTTTTATAACTTGGAAGAGGGATGCCGTAATCCAAGCTATAAAATATTTGAAGGTAGGTGAATGACGATTCACCAATTTCCACCTTGAAAACGAAATAATTTAATTAGGTTTTACTTGGATTTGAAACTCCTAGATCTTTTGAGATTCATTGAATTGTTCAATGGCATGTTTCAATCTCGAGTGTGCCCTTCAGGTTTTGTGACTGGGATGCCGAGGATCACAAAACAATGTGTGAAGTAACCATGCAAATCACTTGGTACCCCTAATGTTTACCCCTTAATTGATGTGTTGGTTAACCACACGCGCTCCACCGATACTATGATAAATATTAAGTTACCATTTGCCTACCTTGTTAAATCAAGCTAGTGTGTCGGTTAACCACACACGCTCCACCAACCGACTTAAGCAAAGTGCAAAGTGTAATTTCATGGATTATCACCTTATTCACATTTTCCTAAAGTAACTAAGATTAGGAATTATAAAAAAAAAACATTTAGTTACTTTATATTTATCATTAATACTTTTAATGAAGGGAGAATTATAGTCATTTTCCTACCCGTTTGGCTAACGACCCTCTACAAGTCAAGGAAGCGGTGGGTGAGAGTGGACACCCATTAAACTGCCATTTTATAGGCAGTAACCTTATACCCCCTTATAGACCGGCTTCGTGAATGAGGCCTACTAATGGTAAGACGACTTGCTCTTATATATATATATATATATATATATATATATATATATATATATATATATATATATATATATTATTAACTTATAATATTAGGAAGTATAAGGGTTGAATTTTAACTTTTAAAATTCTAAGGGCTTAACTTGGAATTAAAGTATTCATAAGTAAAAACTTTTCACACTCCAAAACTTAAGGGCGAGTTTTGAAACTATTCAAATCTATTCAATTTCCATAACTTATGTGTTTAAAGTAGTTTTAATCCAAAAACTCTTCAAGTTCCATAACTTGAGGACAAGTTATGGAAGACTTTAAACTATTAAAAGAATGTGACTTTTCTTTATTCATAACCTATGGAAATATTTATGAGTTTTATAAATCTTAAATGTGACTTTTCATATAACTTCATGACAAGTTACAAAAACACATTTTAGAATCAACTCTTAGATTAATTTGGATTGAAAACAACAATTTCACATAACTTTTCTATTAATCTAAGCAACTCACAAGAACAAGATAATTCAAATCAAACTTTTTCATATAATTAGCCTAATCCTTAAACTAATACAAAAAATGAATCTATTGAAAATTATCTTTGAAATTGGATTCGTATGAACATTACCACATCAAAAACAGGTTTACAAGTTCAAAAACAGCTTATGGTAATGTTCCTAGTCCAATTCCAGCCAAAAAACACGAAGATATGCATTCTGGAAGACAAACTCGTCGAGTTCTTCATGGAACTCGTTGAGTTCATGCTCTAATATTGGAACTCATCGAGTTTTCCTCCAGAACTCATCGAGTTTCAGGTCCTGACAGATTCTTGGCTTCGAAAAATCAGTTTGCATCAAGTATAATTGAAAACAAGCCTAAGCTCTTATACCACTGTTGGGTTTTGAGCATTCTAACACTCCTAATTGTACATGCAACCCTAAATACCTTGGATCTATGTTTTCTCTATTATACATGCAAATATGAACTTTCCAAGGTATTCATCCTAATTAGCATAATAACATTGATTCATATGAATAACTCAAGTTAAAATTACATACCTCTTTGATGTAGAATGTCTTCATGAAGCTTGAGTGCCTAGTGCCCCAAGTGTGACACCTCAAATGGTTCACACAACACCAAATACACTTGGACTAACTTGAGAGAATATACACACTTCATGAAAATCGGCTAGCCCTTTCACATATACTCTAGTGCCCGATTTTGTCAACAATAAGATGCTTATATAGTTAGTGACAATTAGGGTAAACCCTAATTGTCATGGCTTTCCATTTTCTTGGATCTATGGGTTCAAATATACCACAAAGCATCCATGGAGCGTCTTTTGGGTTTTAGCCCAACTTGACAATCCATGGAGCATTAGCCCACTATACAAGTATGGATGATTTACACAATCAACCCATATATTTAATTAGTATTCTTTTGATCACTTAATTAATTCTGGATTAATTCTTGATCAATACTAATTAAATAATCTTATTAATATATTAGAACTTATAATATATTAACAAACCTTAAGTGTTATTTCTCTCATTATAGTCTATCCAAATGCATGATGCCATGCAACCCAAATGGACCATGTCGGGTCGGGTCAAGTCTTACCAATTATAGTTATGGACTTAGACATTAATCTAACAGTTACATCATCATAGTTTCGATCTTTGCTGGATCAACCATTATTCCTTCTTGGTTGACCACATGACCCAAGAATTGGACTTCTCTAATCTAAAAATCACATTTGGAGAACTTTGCATACAACTTCTCCTTTTTTTAGAACTTCTAACACTTCTCGTAGATGCTTGTCATGCTCCTGTTGGCTCTTTGAGTAAAACAGAATGTCATCTATGAACATTATCACAGATTTATCGAGGAATGGTTTACAAACCTTGTTTATCAAATCCATGAATGTTGCTGGAGCATTAATTAGTCCAAATGACATAACCAAGAACTCGTAGTGTCCGTATCTCGTTCTGAATGCGGTTTTGTCAATATCTTGCTCTCTCACCTTCAACTGATGATATCCTGACCTGAGATCAATCTTTAAGAAATAGATCGAACCTTGTAGTTGATCAAACAAGTCATCAATCCTTTGCAAGCGGTACTTGTTCTTTATTGTTGCCTTGTTCAGCTCTCTATAATCTGTCTATGCACATCCTCATGCTTCCATCATTCTTCTTTACAAATAACACCAGAGCTTCCCATGGTGATGAACTAGGTCTAATGAAATCGTTGTCCAACAACTCCTGAAGCTGCATCATAAGATCCTTTATCTTTGTCGGTGCTAATCAATATGGTGCTTTCGATATTAGTGTTGATCCTGGTAACAAGTCTATTCGAAAATCTACTTGTCTATCAGGGGCAATCTAGGAAGATCCTCGGGGAAGACTTATGGATAGTCATACACCACTGATATTCTTTATATCTCCTTCTTCTCCTTCTTTGCAACGATTACAATTACCAAGTATGATGTGCATCCTTTAGACAAACATTATTTGACTTTCATCAGGAAAATGATTCAAGAATTTATTTTGTGTTTATCTCCGTACACCATAAATGACTCTTTTCTGGATGGGTTCACTCTTACTATCTTCTTCTTGCATAGTATCTCGGCATCATTAATTGAATTGTTGTAAAGAATTGGTTGATTCTCCATAAGTGGGATGTGAGAGTGGCAAGATGTGAGAGATGTGTTATATACGGGTGGGCCATATTATTTTTTTCTATAATTATAAATAAATAAAATATTAAATTAATTGAAAAATAATGATATAAGGGCATTGTAGTTCTTTTACGTCTAGCATAAACCAAAATCGCAAATAATATCGTAATAAATATCTTATTTGAAAGAAAAAAATGTTAGAAACCAAACATACAAAAATGAATATTCATTTAATTACCGGATGATATTGTATACAATTTAAGAAATCGAAGAAATAATTAAATGAGACTTACTATTTTACAGATAATTAAAATGTGTTATTTGAGAGGTCATGATTGACTAGTCTTGAGAAACACAATTATTTGTATAAGATAATACTATTTCAACCAATAATTAATCCAAAATTTTATATTTTCTTCAGTAATTCTAATGGTTTCCTCGGTTTATCCATCCCTTGCTAATTTATGGTCTTTTTACTATTGGTATTTCATTGATATACAGTCAACATTTTCGGTGGATAAATTTCTGTAGGAAAATTTTTTCTCCGTTGTGTATTGTTGTCACAAATTAAGAACCCGATTGTTCATAAAGGATGAAGCATATTCGCATGCTCTATCATTTTTTGAGGTAAGTGTTTATGGAAAATCAACACTTGCGCCTGGAACATTTTAATTACAAAGACAAGTTTGAAGGAAGTTTACCTTACGGCCGACATCGTTAACCCATAAATAAGTCAACTGGCATGATATTATGTAGATAAAAATTTACATCTGTTTACTTTTGATAACTTAATTCAAATTGGATCTTGAAAATGAAGGTCCTTGAAGCCTAGCGATCTATGTAGAAATAGTGTAAGCAGTAAATGAATTGAAGGATATAAAAGTGGAATTAGGACATTAATTAAAAGAAATCAATTTATTTTCCACTATTATTTTTATTCTCTACGCAAACAGGAAACACAAGACAAAAAAAATATGAATCACAATATAAAATGCTATCAAATAAATGAGGATAAACAACACCGCCAAAGTAGACTTGATATATAGAGCTTCACAAAATGGCAACACACCTTATTATTCTCGATTACTATTAATAATATCTTTATTGTGCGAGACCTCGGCGTTTAAAGACTGGGATACTCTGTGGAAATTTAAAGAAATTCTTAGGATCAACTTTAGCCTTGATTCGAATCAACCTCTTGAAGTTCTCCCTTTTCCAGTACCTCTCGCCCCAAACACTTGCTTCCTTATAATTCGCAGCCCCAACACCGATATCCAGATCATTGTTATTGACATACGACTCCCTCGGGTTCTGTGACACATAAGGAGTCAACAACTCTTCCAAGCTTTGCAACCAAGCTAATCTTCTAAGCGATACAGGGGTTGTATCGTTAGCTTGACCTACAAAACTTACACTGGTAGCCAACAAGTACAAGGTTCCAGCTCTATGAGGATATGGTGTTGCTGTCTCTGCGTAGTCATCCATTCTTCCTCCAGAAGGAATGATAAGCAAACCACCTGACAAATCGTTTTCAAAAAACTTACTCCAGATTTTTTCCAGTCCAGATATGGGGATCGGAGTCCTGACAAAGTTTGATTTAGTTTTGCTGTTTGACTTGGGTATGGCAGATCGGTTTGTAAGAATCTCAAGCGGGGTGGTGCTTGGCCTTCCAAAAAACACAAGTGTCGATTGGACGCTTGTCATTTCTTGACAAATCTCTCGTGTAACACCGAGCTCCGGGAAAACTTTGTCCAACACTGGAAGCAGTTCGTTGGTTGTGCCCTGATAAATTCCTTGGAAGATGATTCGCATGGTTTTTTGTGTGGTGTTTCCAATAAACTCCGAAGCTGCCTGGGATCTTATGTACAAATTTCTGTCTTCAAAAGTTGCAAGAGACTGATATTTATAGAAAAGTTCTGTTGCACCTTGTTCGAGAGTTCTATTCACTATAAAGACAGTTACTTTTTCTGGAACAGAAACCAACTGTAATTTCCATGCAACAACAACTCCAAAACTGGAAGCAACACCTCCTCGAATCGCCCAAAACAAATCTTCACCCATCGACTTCCTATTGAGAATCCTTCCATTGACATCTATGATACGAGCATCCAAAACATTATCACCGGCTGTAGCATATTTCCTTAACAGGTTTCCGGTGCCACCACCACCTATCAACCCACTGATCCCCACCGTAGGCCATGTACCTCCGGGGAAATACAAGGTATTGTTGGACTTCTGTGCAATACTGTAGTAAAGTTCACCAAGCACAGCGCCTGTCCCCACCCATGCAGTCCTTTTAGCTACGTCTATGTCTATAGATCTCATGTTGTTGAGATCGATCATAACGAATGGAACATCGGCAGTGTATGAGAGACCCTCGAAGTCATGCCCCCCACTTCTGATCCTGATCTCGTACCCATGTTTCTTGGCACAGAGAATAGATGTTTGGACGAGTGATTCATCCGTAGGTGTCACGATGATTGATGGTCTTGGAGTGGAGGGTTTAAGGAACCTGGTGTTTTGAACTGCGAATTGCCAAATGGGTAGGAAAGAAGCATTGCCAGGGGTGTAAATGAGCTGAGAAATGGAGCTCGCATTGGTTGATTTGGATTCTACGCAGCTTATAAAATCTCTAGAATATGCAGATGAAAAGGAAAGAGCGAGAGTTAGAACCAAGAGGAAAAAATAAGATCTCTCCATGTTTAATTTGGTGAGTTTGATCTATGGCAATGACTTCCAAAAGCGTTTTAATTTATAGAACAGATATGAGCATAAAGCCGCCATAAGACTTGACTACCAGTATGAATCGAAAAATAAAACATGAACTTATTAGGTTAAATGTATATATTATTTATATATCCGTTTTCATACTTTATTTTATGACATCATGTGATCTATGTTATTTGTTGAATATTCGTATAGTACATGCTGATAATGTCATAAATTATATTATTACAAACATGGTGTTGAAACATTCAAAATAAGTCTACTACTAAACAGGATGTCACTATTATAAATTTTGTTTACCAAGAATATAAGATAATATATCCGTATATATAAATTGAAAACTTTATGGAAACAAGTCTTGTTTAACAAGACATTAAAGATAAGATGACACGTACGCTACAACAAAACTTTGACTTTAATACACAAACAAAGCCTGTTACGTTGCTAATCCGGATATGATGGAGCGCAACGAAAATTTTCCTTACAGTCTTTGTAAGGACGGAGTAACGATATAGTTAATCTAGCAATTAAATAGAGGACCACCTAATCCGATAAAATTAATATATTTTCCAAATAATTAAGAGTCCTAATTTTAAACAACCAAATTACGAATGATTGACCAACCGGGTCTTTTGGGATAATTTGACTAATTTTTGAAGTTTATAAACCTACCAAAAAAACTAATGCAGAAATATCCAGAGATTTTGTGGTTCGATCAGAAAATGTAGATTTTATTGTAGAGTAGAAAATCATGATTTTTCTGTAATATATAAAAGAAACTTGTAAAAAACCAAAAAAAAAAAAAAAAATCAGAGTTTGTAGTATCACAGAAAACAAATCTAATTCAATATCAATACAAATATCCGGTAACATAAAACTATTACTATGAGTTCACGTCATGTGGGGGATTTTATGGGTAGGATTGGTCCGTTGATTTTGAAGGCTCGGTACAAAAAGTAAAATTTGCCCCTAAAACTTTGGGCCCCTTCAAGACATGGGTGTTGTATGGCCGCACACACGACATCTCCTCAAGGTCGGCCCTGCTTATGGATTGCCTTCAATGCCTTGCAAGAATTTTCCCCACAATTTTTAGTTTTTTTACGGAGTTGCTTCATGCTTTTCGTGTTCTCTACAAAGCGCCAGAATCCTCTCGTTGCGTCATCTCCTCATATAGTTGGTTTTACAAGTTTGTCCTACAAAAATATTAAAACAAATATAACTAGTAATGAATATAAAGATAAAAATAACAGCCTACTTTACTTGCTTTACAAAAAAAATTAATAAATAAATAAATAATCAATGTATACATGCAATGTGTTTTAAACAATAGATTATATATAATAACAACATACTTATCGAGAAACGTGCAGAAATTGAGATGTGTTTGTTTATATCGATCCTTTTCTTGTTTGAATGTTATTAATAAATTTTTAATGCAAATGATCGTCATGATTATATGGAGGTTGATATGGAATTTTAGGAATGATTTTATTTTTATTGTTCAAAAGACGAAAATGAGTATTTTGATTGATACACTATTAGAAAAATAGCCTTTTACGACGTGTAATTTATGATACGCATTGTTTTACGATACGCAAAAGTGTTTGATCTAAAAATAATGTCATCTCTCTATAAATTTTAAGGATTTAGAACGCGCATTTTTGCGTGCCGTTAAATTAGTGTCTAAAATAACACGAAGGACGCCTGTAATAAAATGTGTGTCGTCTGAAGATGTCGCTTTATATTTTCTCACAAAAATAAAATAAAAACACGGAGGGCACTTTTCTTAAACGCTTGTCCTCTGTAAATGTCGCTTTATAATTTTGTGAAGACGTCTCCTCTTTAGCAACTAGCTAGCAGCAAGAAAAGGAAATCCAAAAAAATTAGAAAACCCGCATCTCCTCTTTAGCAACTAGCTACCAGCGGGAAAAGGAAATCCAAAAAAAATAGAAAACCCGCCTTATTTGTTTCCCTTCATTTGCCCTACATGTGTTCTTTTCCACACAAAAATCATTGACGCTCTTCCTCCCCTCCCTACATCGAGTTCAACTTCAAGTGTGAAATCCTAAGCAGATCGATCTAGAACCATAATTGCTGAGATGCACCCGGAATTGCTCAATTTAACCGATGAAGGAAGCTTAGTTATAATAAGAAAGATTCAGTTTGGCCCTGTTCAGGCATGGCGAACCTAGTTTGTGGAGCCTGAGGCTATTTGATTGATCGGTACAAATCATGTTTCTGAAAAATCGGCTGTCAACGGCGATACGAGTGATGTTGTTAGATTCCATATTCTCTGATGAATTTGCTCTGTTCCAAGTTACTTTTAGTATGAAATCAGTCAGCGACTTCAAATCATTATCTTATCCTACAATTCCTTTATTATAAAGCGTGATTTAGTTCCATCCATGGATTAACTTGACTTATTGCAGAGATCGAACCATGGCTAAAGTCCAATCCATTTTCCTTATCTGATTCAGGGTTCCTTGGCGCCATTAGCGCAACATCAACTTAGGTGACCATCTCCATCTCCATATACATCCGATTTCATCTGTTTCTTCGCTGAAAACAAAATTCACCATGTTTTTCGGCCTAACAGTTGGTCAAACAGCTTTAGCACTACATTTACTGTTAGCCACATTCTCTTCCAATATTTCCTCAAACATCAATCGACCTTTTGGTGACGAGGTATACAGTTTAGATAATAGATCGTTACAAGAACCATCTTCAAACTTTTCAAGCTCTTAATTGACAAATTTTATGTTAGTTTTGTGCAGCAAGAAAAGCATCTGAAGAAAATTTGGGCACAGGTGGTATTAGGAGATCAGCATATTGAAATAATAGAATGTATCTCTATCCATTTGATCTTTTACTTATTAATATATTGGAGGAGATTAAAAAATATGGTAAAGAGGTTCCTTTAGGAACAATGTTGAAAATACTAAAAGCTAAAGGAGCAAAGGAAAGAAAGGATGTTGTTCAAAATGAATCTACACCAACTGCTCATCGGGTTCAAGAGTATCACTGTCATATTCTTTAAACATATCGTTGTTCATCAAGTTCAATAGTAGTTAACTTCAATTGATTCTTTACTGTTTATATGATGCTTATATTATCCTAATGAGATAGTTGGCTTATGTTCATCTTCTTTAGATTAAGAAGCTTATTCGATATTAATATAGCCACAACTTTTGGCATAACAGTGTTAATATTTCACACATTCTGGACTAACACTTTCATATTCTTTAAACAAGTCATTGTTTATTAAATTTATTTTGATGTGTATTTTTTGTTTCAACTTTGACTTGGAGTTCACAGTGGCTAACAACCTAGTTGTTGTCAGCACTAGAACCTTGATGTATCAGATGAGAAGCAGTTAAATTAGCTTCTTTGCAAGGTCTAATTAATGGCTTTAATGGTTTTTTTGTGTAACTTGTTAGTTTTATTTGGTTTAAACATCTTTATAGACTCTTTTATCTGGAGGGAATTCTTGTGACTTTGTCATGTGGTAGTGAAGGAACAGGATTCCTTATTTAGTGATTGCAACACTTCTGTCCCTATTTCCATGGGTGATTGTTGGCATTGAAGAAAGCATAAGGAATTCCCGAGATCAACTCATGATCTTCTTGTTGTTGCAAAATCTTAGTTCTGCAATGGCAGATGTTGTCATCGATGCAATGATTGTTGAAGCTGCAAGACTTGAAAAGTATGTGGTATTATATCCATCTCCATCCATTCACTTCCAACAGCTATGATAAATTAATAATACTTTTGGTTTATACAAAACTGATATTATTTATTATTGATTATCAGGGCTAAATTTGTGGGGGACCTGCAGTCGGTATCATGGATGGTAATGGCTACTGGGGGAATCTGTGGGAGTTTATTAGGAGGATACGCACTCACTAACTTCCAAATGGAAACCATTTTTCTTCTTTTTGCTGTTTTCCCAACTCTACAACTTTTCTCATGTGCTTTTGTGAAGGAGACTCCTGTCCCAAAACATTCCAACTCTAAAAGTAATGGTCTTAATGGGAGCATGAGCATCTCCATATCAGATGCTGATAAATCCTCAAAATATTCCAACTCTACAGCTTTTCACATGTGCTTTTGTGAAGGAGCTTTTCACATGAGCAACTATTGTTTGGACATATGATGTTTATAAAAAATTTAATGGTTTAATAGTTTCTTTTTTACTTAATGTTAACAAAATGTCCTAGTGGGTTAAGTTAGGAAAGTGATGATTCCATAAAACAATTCACTTTTTCTTTTCTAATTTCCCCCATAATAGAGATACATCTCTCTTTTTAATTTATATTTTTGCTAATTTAGTGTAACGAATATCTAGATTGTTTTATAATTTTCACTTTTTTTTCCAATTATTATGATTAATTATCATGTTATTTTTTTTATTGTGATATTGTACAGTTTTAGTTTATTACTGTAATTAAATAAACGGTAATTTGTTTACCTCAGATACAATGGCAAAACCTCATAAACAGGTAACCAATATGTTTCGATTACCTTTTTGCCCTTCATGTTTTTTGAGTCTTCTATAGTGTCAAATGTTAGAGTACAAGTTACTTATGTATTAGTTTTATCCACTGTTGCATTCTCCTGTTCGAGTACAAGTTACTTAAATAAATGGTAATTTATTTTCATTGTTTTTTTAAACTTATTTATCATATTGGTTAAGTAGAAGAAAATCTGTAACAATATTTTTGAATTTAAGCATATAAATAGTGTTATATTGTTATGGCTAATTCTAATCTTTTTGCTTTCATCTTTCAGGTGTATAAAGATGTGATGTAGAGAACGAAACAAGCCTGGTTGCAACAAATGTGATGATATAGGTTTAATTTGTCAAGTAGACAAAATGTTTATCAGTAATTACATTCAAGAAATTGTGATTTCTGCAATTTCTCATCATTTGATGCTTTAAAGCTTGAGAATGATTATTTGTATGATATTAACTTTCGTGCAATGGATTGTATTTTTTATATATGGTATTTTATTTTCTACTATAAGATATGAAAATGAAAATTTAATTTGAAAATTAGTAAGCCTGTAAATAAATTTTTTTTAAAAAAAATTTAAGTTACGATACGCAGAAATGTGTGTCATCTTCATTTATGACATGACCTTTCTTGACAGCAGCTTTAATGATACACATTGCGTGTCATAAATGTGCGTCGTCTAAAGACGACGCGCAAAAGCGTGTCGTCTCTCGTTATGACAGGGCCTTCCTTGACACGCGTTTGCACGTGGTCTAAGCGTTTTACAACGCGCAATGAGAATCATAAAAGGCCTTTTTTCTAGTAGTGATAGTTCGATCAATTACTCATATGATTGGTTTGTTTGTAGAAATAATAATCTTTAACTTAGTCCGGCTGTGTGGTTTTCAAACCCAATTCTTTCCATTCCCTCGTAATTTTGTGTTAATTTTTTGCTAATTTTTTTAATAAAATATTCACATGTTAAAAATAATGACAACATACTTACCATAATAGTAATTATCTTCCCTTTTTAAAATTGAAAATCCAAATTTATATGGATTTTATCCTCTCTATCATCCTATGTTTTTATTCCACTTATTTTCTCATTAATTTTACAAAACTCAAACTCTCCAATCTCATTTTTACGTTCATTTTCTTTGTCTACCTTTCAACGTGTGAATTTCATTTTTGGTGTTGGTTAACGATCCACTTTTTCTTTTCTTTCATAGCTCTTATATGACCATTACTTTGTTAACTGAATCATTTAGTTTCATTTTCATCTCTTTATATTTTGTTTTATTGACAACTAGCATCTTCAGGACGCTAAGCTCGTTAGGGGAGCACATATGGAGATAATCGAACATGGTTTAATTCAAAGACTTGTAACATATTTATCAATTTGGGCGGTATTTCAATTTGGTCGATTTGTTCTAAAATTTAGGTGCCTTTTAAAATTAACTCCTCGATTTTCGATCTATTCCTCCCCACATCATATCTCTCTTTCTCCCTTCGGCACCAAAAATACAGAACGGCCATAGCAACACAACTACTCATTGAAGCAAAAAGTATCATCACAACCATAAAAAATAAAGACTAGTTTTTTTATTATTATTGTTTTATGTTCTGGCATTCAACTCTAGTTAGTGTAGTTAGGGTTTAATGTTTTTGATGTTGTAGTGTTTGGAAAGATGATTGACATGGGGTGAAGTGGAAGCATACATTTGGAAGTGGGCCCCATTGCATCCATGGCTTGTGTGCAAACCCTTTGATTTTATGTTTGGATAAGGTTAGTAATTTGCATTAATAGATTTGATATGATTTGCATATATATAATTCATTTTCGACGGATCATCTATTTGGATAATGAACCCACGACTTGTCAACTCCCAACAATGTAATTCAGCATGTTGGAAGTTGGATTTCATGTATTGATTCATCCCTATTTTCTCTTGATTTTAAAATCTGATTTTGATTTTCTAAACAATTTTTATCTAATAGAACATGTTGCACATATTATTTTTTGTGTAGTGCAACTAGAAAAAGGGGCAAAATCTCAATTTTGATGGTACAAAAGAACGAAACAGATCCACATCTTTAGTTGTGTAGCTAGAAGAGCAAAATTTGATGTATACATGACTCATGACCATTGACACCAATACGATCGTCCGTGGCTGGCACTCAACCTTCTTCACTGATGACAAAACCATAATTTAACAAAGATTCAACACCACTTATAACTATTGTTTTTAAGCAATCATAAATTTTAAGAAAAAAAATGGATTTTGCAGGGTTACATGGTATGGATTAAGCTAAAAGGGAGAGGCAGTGGTAAGGGATGTTGTGAAGATTTTAATAGATCATAAGTCCTCTTCCAGAATTGATAAGGTAATGCGAACCAAGACATGTTTTAACAACATGGTGGTTACTAATGGAGGGCCAATCGAATGGGGTAACACATTGAATCAATCAAAACCTGTCATGGTTTTCTATGGTAAGTCATTGGAATTTCAATATTAGCCTAGCTTATATTTATGTAAACTATTAGATTTATTGTATATTGTATCATTTTTCTAGTATTTATATAAGATAACTCCCATGCCTATTGGGGTGGTATTCCATTCATTATATGGTATCAAGAGCCCTTCAACCCCTCCCTTCCTCTCCCTCCTCATAACCGACTCCTCCATTGTTTCTGGCGATCTCACCATGGTCGGCTCCTCTAATGACTCCATCCTCCCGATGAACACCCTCATTCATCTCATCACCATTCGTCTCTCTTCTTCCAATTATCTTTTGTGGGTAAATCAAATGGTTCCCCTCCTAAATTATCAACATCTCCTTGCACATGTTGATGGCTCCTCGGAAGCTCCACCCACTCATCATACCGTGGACGCCAAGCAAGTTGAGAATTCGGCCTTTGCAAAATGGCAAGCCGCCGATCAACGCACGGTTCTTCTCCTCCAAGCCTCCCTCACGGAGGAAGCTTTTTCTGAAATCGTGGGTCTTTCCTCCGCCCGCGCCATCTGGACTGCTCTCGAATCCGCTTATGGAAACTCCTCCATGGAACGGGTTCAAAATCTACGCGACCAACTTCAGATTCTCTCCAAGGGTGACTCTCCCGTTTCTGATTATGGTCGCAAGTTCAAGGCCATTTGTGACCAACTAGCGGCTATTGGTCAAGCTGTTGATGAATCCGACAAATGCCATTGGCTTTTATGTGGCCTCGGCGGCAGTTTTGAAGCTTTTTCCATGGGGGTTCGCACCTCGCGTATCACTCACTCATTCCGGGATCTCCTTGCGCAAGCCGAAAGCCATGAATTGTTCATCAAATCGATCCATGGGCAGCCCACCCCTGCTGTCGCCTTTTCCGTTGTTTCAGCGCCTAGCGGGGCTGCTCCCGCGTTTTCTGTTGGTCGGGGTCGTGGTGGTGGCTCCGGTGGTCGTGGTGCTTTTCGTGGCGGTCGTGGTTGCGGCCGTTGGCCTCCTCATTGCCAACTATGTAGACTAAATGGGCATTTTGCTAGTGCTTGCCCTCGACTTTCCACTTTTGCATCTAACTCTATTCCAAATGAAAGGGACTTGACGAAGGCGTTTTTAGCGAATTGTCGCGTCACTCCACCCACTCCGGATTGGTATGTTGACTTCGAGGCCTTGGACCATATGGTCTCCTCCTCGGGCTCGGTCACTCAATCTGAGCCTTTCCATGGCGACGGTTTGGTTCATTTTGGTAATGGTACAACTCTTCCAATTACCTCTATTGGGACTTCTACTCTCACAAATCGTATTAAATTGCGAGATGTTTTAGTTGTCCCAAAACTTACTAAAAATTTATTATCTGTTAGCAAGTTAACTTCTGATAATGATGTCGATGCCCTTTTCTCGAAAAATTCATGTTCTATTCAGGATCTGGTCACGAAGAAAATTCTAGCACAAGGAAGGCATGACCGCGGGCTCTATGTTCTCCGCAATAAACCGGTGGCTTGTTCGTTGTTTGCTACTAAACGTCCCACCGCATCTTTTGAATTATGGCACTCCCATTTAGGGCACGTGAATTTTGATGTTATTTCTAAATTGAATAAAGATGTTCATGCAATGGTTTCTTCTATTTTACCAAAACCCGTTGTATGTTCTCCTTGTCAACTTGTCAAGTCTCATCGTATGCCCTTTGAGATTAATGACCAACGTGCCTCAAAGGTCTTGGATTTAATTCATTGTGACCTTCGGGGTCCATCTCCTATTGTTTCGGTTGCCTCTTATCGATATTATGTTACATTTGTGGATGACTTTTCGCGTTTCACGTGGTTCTATCCACTTAAAAATAAATCCGAGTTTTATGGAGTTTTTGCGACATTTATGGCCTTTGTTGAGACACAATTTTCTACAAAACTCAATACTTTTCAAACTGATGGGGGTACGAAATTTTTAAACAATAAAGTAAAGGCTTTGTTACAAAGCCATGGCATTTTTCACCGTATCTCTTGCCCTTACACGCCTCAACAAAACGGGCGGGTCGAACCTAAACACCGCTATATTGTGGAAACGGGCATTGATATGATGTTTCATGCCTATCTTCCGGTCTCTTATTGGACGCATGCTTTTAGTACCGCGGTGCATATAATTAATCGTCTTCCCACTAAGGTGTTGGCCATGCGCTCTCCAT